AGAAAGAAAGAAAGAAAGAATAATCCAGAGGTAGGTATTTGTATGAATATTCACCTTTGTTATTTTTTTTAATCAGTGTTTTAACTGCGAATTTTCTTGGACATATTTGTTCTTTTTCTGATCTCAGATGTAGTAACTTCTTTTAAATCGGTAAAAAAAAAAAAAAGTGTATTCAAGCGTTTAGTTGTCCGTATGATTTTTTCACTAATCTGGAGGCAGACTACGCAGGAGACCAAACTTTCCTCTCCAACTAGTGCTCTCGAAATCCCCAGCAACGGTGAAGGACTACTCTCAGACCTCCTCCTCGGGAACCTTTCAGAGAAGGAAAATAGAATTTGTTCGAGGTCTGTCCCTGGGAGCCTGGGGAGTCAGAACAAGGACAGCATATGCTCCCAAGCTGCAGCCTGGGAAGGCAATATATGGGGAGCAGACACCCCTGCCTGCAAAGACGGGACCGAATGACGGAGTGGCGAACAGAGAAGAGCTGTTGGCATCAAAGGTGCAGCTCTGCATTAATATTCAGTTTATCTTCTAATGCTCATTTCAGATTAGAAGAAATCCCACTTCTCCCCAGTTTAAATCCTCACCTTGTTCACAGAGTAATGTCCAGTACTGGTACATTTCAACCACTTTTGGACAGTCTTGGAAATATTTTAACCATTTAATGACAATGATGGGGAAGACCTTAGTTGGTGTGCAGTGCCTTTGCCTGCCTGCCTGCCTTCCTTCCTCCCTTCCTTCCATCTATCTATCTATCTATATCTATCTGTCTATCATCTCTCACTGTAAAACCCCTGCTCGGACACTGGATCCAGGTTTGAGCCTGCCTATGCCTAATGCGGGATTTAATGTCATGAGGAGTCACAGGAGAAATGTCAAGGGGAGAATTTCAAAAAGCCCCCCCTCAAACCACACAAACCACTATATTTTGGGTCACTTCTCTGCCAAGCACAGAACTGATGGGGACTGATACGCCAAGGTTAAGTGCAGGACGGTTAAGAAGACAATTGTTATGCCGGGTTTTGATTTTTACAGAGCCTTATTTATTGGTGAGCTGCTGGCCCCGAGATGATTATTTTTCAGCCACTACAAAACAAACCGAAGCAGGGGCCAGACGTGTATTTACTGGAGGGGGAGGGGAAGGGGACTTGTTTGCTCTGTGTGTGTCTGCGGGTGCGTGTGTGTGTGTGTGCCGGCTTTATGCTTTTTTATTCCTGCCATGCAAGAATCCGGTTTCCAAATAACAATGGCAGGGTGGATTTTGGGGTTGGGATTTTTTTGCGGTTTTGTTTTTGTTTCTTTTTCAAGGAAGGGAAGAGACAAGGAAAACTCCTAAAGCATCTACTCTCAGATGCACATTCACAACACATGCAGATCGCAGATCGACTCCTCTGCTCCCACATAAATGGTTTAAAAGCCCAAACGACCAGGGCGACCGTTGCCTGTTTTATTTAAATTTTTATTTTATTTAATTTTTTTTGTCCCAGCCACCGTCGCCCCGCCAACGTGACTTTTATGTGATTCCCCCCTCGGTCCCGTTATCGACCACGGGATTCATCTGCTTTAGCCGAAATGGGGAAAGGGGCTGCAGGGGTTATATTTTTAAGACCCTCGCTTTGTTTGTTTGCCTCCCGAGGCAGTATCACATGCCCAAGCGTACATCGATATTTTCCGAGATCGCTGCGCCTCTCTCCACACCACCCCTTCCCCTCGCCGCAGGGGAGGGGGGGGGAGAGAGTGGAGGAGTGACTCCCCCAAAAAATGAAGAAGCCACCGGCAGTGC